TACTATAGCCAACTGTTAGGTCTGTTTGTTTCATTTTTGCTCAAGTGCCCCCTACCCCCAAGTCAATTTCCACAGAACAGCCAGAATGATCTTTTCAGAAGGTAAATTAGATCATGTCACTTTCCTGCTTTAAATGGTTCACTAACAGCAGAAAATTCAAGCTCCACACTAGGTCGTGTAGGACTCATGTCATCTGACCCTCAACTAACATTGCAGCCGTGCCTTGTGCTTCTCTAGCTTATTCACTATATCCCAGCCACACCAGGGTCTCATTCTCATGTTCCCAGATCATCCCCGAGTTCTCTCCTGCCTCATGGCCTTTGCGTGTCCTACCACCACTTCCTGGACTTGCCAATTTCATTCTTCTGGTCTACTCTTAATAATTACCTCCTTAGAGTTCTCTCCTGACCACTCTAAGTAAAGTAGACCCTCTGCCGCTTAGTTAATCACAACATTTTGTTTATTTCCTTCATAATACCAATCACAAAATCAATTTAATTTTCCATATTTTTCTTTTTAATTTCCATTTCCATTCATAAAATGTGAAGTTTATCAGGGCTTGGCCCCTAACCTTCTTGTTCACTTTTATAGCCCCAGCATGTGCCTCAATGCTTGGTACAGAAGAGGGTCTTTATAAATGTGAATGAATGAGACACTCTTCCTGTTCCCAATAGGTTTAGAGTTTAGAGAATGAAAAAATTCATGGACAAGCAATTACAATCTGGTGTGATAGGTGCTATAGTAGAGTTAATTGTACTGTGGTACATACCTGACACAGGGATAGTATAACATGCAGAGAGATATGAAAATGTAATGCACCTCAAAGCACTTACCTTTTATTGTAAATATAAAGGAGCTCATTTTTAATGCAGAAAATTTGGAAAATCTAGAAAAGTGTAAAGAAGAAAACATTCAACTGCTGTAATCTCTCTAATGTCATTAAAAAGATTACATTCATAAATCATTGCCAATCCTACTTCATCTTTTGTGAATTACATGCTGAACTCACTTGCTGATTTTTCTTTTGGAGAGTTTGTTTTGTTGATTCTCAAGGATTGTTTACACAAAACATATTTTCCTTTTAGCTGGCATATATATTGATATTACAGATATTGTTCTCAACTTGCCATTTGACTTTTAATTTTGTTTTATTCAGACTTTTGTTAACATATAAAACATACTTTGATATTATAGTTATAATGTATTTAAGAAATATACAATATTTCAACTTTAAGAAATTGGTTTTTAAACTTCTGTCATTAATTTATTGCTTCAGGGAATTCAGTTAGGAAATGTATAGACCCAAACCTGTATGGTTTCCTCTTTGAAGGATTTATTGAAGTTATACATTAGTCTATTATATGATCTTTGTGTAAATAATCCATGAGCATTTGAACAGAAATTTTATTCTCTCTTTATATTTGTTTAGTAAATGCATTATTACTCATATTAGATACATACTTGATATTTTTTCCTGTTTGGTCAGAGTCTAAGACAAGTGTTAAAATCTTCAGATGCTGGGGTTTTTTCCCATCATTTTCTCCTTTTAAATCTATTGACTCACGCATTTTTTTTTAATGACCATTTTAGTCCACTTAATGATTTTTGTATTTCTTTTTGGTTTAAATTCTACTTTGATGCTTTTGCATTATGTTTACAACTATTTTCTGTTTATTTGCATTTTCCTATTATGTCTTTGTTCAACTTGTTATTTTTAAGGTTACTGAGTCATTCTATATTAGGTGTTTATCTTATAGCATACGATTAGGCATGGTTTATTTAGACAGTCTGAGAGCTTTTCACTATTTTAACCTATTTATATTTATTGTCACAATAGAAATTTTTTCTTTTATCATTTTTAGTACGCAATTTCAATGCTTTTATGCTATTTCTTTTAAATGTTTTTCTGTGTTTGGTGTGTTTTCCTTTTATTTTTTCCTATGGACTTTGCTTTTGGATTCCTTTGAATTATTAAAAATATAATTAGATACGTAATTCTTTATCAGAAGGTCTTCTGTTGACTTCCTTCTGCAGGATGAGGCAGCTATCACACTTTTATTTCTACAAACTTTCCCCCTACCCTCTGCACAATTTTGTTTGTTCAATCTCTCGTAAGGACCCTGCTATCTTAGTAAACCCCTCTTCTGGAGTGATTGTCATGCTGGTGCCAGCTGCTCTATGTTTGATGTGACTGTCAGCGCCAAGTCACTGTACATAATTCCCAGGCAGCAGTGTGTTGCCTTAGTGATAGATCTTACCACCCAAGGAGGCTGCCTCTTCACAGCCATCACCACCCTTTCCACCATTTCCCTGCTCACTTGTTATAGCTGTAGAGCTCTGGACCTCACTGACACCCCTGGCCTCTGAATCCACTAACCTGAAGTGACCACACGGACCACAAAAAGATTCCACATGGGGGTTTTTCTGTTGATCTTATCACCCACCTACATTCCATCCACAGCTTGGACTGAGGAGTAAAAGACAGGAGAGAGAGGGTCTATTTGGTTGGCTGTTGAGATGATAGAGGTGAAAAGTGATGAAGATTTGAACCAGAGCAATGGCATTAATATCCAACTGGTTTCGATCTACAGGATGGTTACCTCATATGGTTCAACTTAACAGCAGAGATGGAAAGACATGGACAGATAGGAGAAATACTAAGACAGAGTCAAAAGAAAAAAAAAAAAGGATGTGAGGAGTGGGGCAGACGGAGAAGCCCAGGCAGATGTCTGCATCTCAGTTTTCAATGACTGGATGGGGCAACCCACTGAGGTCCATCGTTCAGGAAGGATGGCCCATTGGGCAGTGAGGGAGACAGCTCATCTCTGTTGTATACAGATTGTGTTGGAGGATCTATGTGATATCTAGGTGGAAATACAGATCTGTGAGCTGGATAAGTGAGACCCACGTTCAGGTGAAAGGTCTAGAATGGAGATCTGGGCTTGGGAATTATCAGTGGATTGATAGCCATTGAAGGAAGAGTGTTTTCAGTTTACAAAAATGGATAGAAGAAGCCCACATTTGAAGAGTGGGTATAGGAGAAGTGCTTACAAAGAAACCAGTGGTAGAATAGACACAGATTGATGAGAAGAACCATGAGAGTAAAGTGTCGCCTGACCCGAAATAGAAGAGAGACCCAGAGAGGGAGAAGCTATGAACATCAGTAATTGTAGGAAAATGGTCAAGAATGAAGAATAAGTATAGCAGTCATTTGCTGAGAACCTACCATGTGCCACATATAGTTCTAAGTAGTGTATTAACTCCTTTCACCTGAATCATTACCCAGTGAGGTAGGCGCTATAATTACAGATGAGGAAACCGAGGCACAGAGCAGTAAGGTAACTTGCTCAAGGTGTACACATACAAGGTGGAACAACCAGGACTAGAACCCCGGCATTCTGACCCAGATCCCAAGCCCTATACTATTTTCCTTCTTAAAGTAAGATAAAGATTGAAATATGTGTATTGGATTTAAGCAGTAAGAGCACTAGTAAGATTACTGGTGTCTGCCATGCAATCAGTGTTGGGGGAACTGCTGAGGACAAAGTCCAGGTGACAGGGGTTGAAGTTTTGCACTGGGAAGTAGGGGAGTGTAGAGTGAGTGTGATTAAAACTATTGAGAATTTTAAATGTGATTGAAACACAATTGGGCTATAAATACAACTGCTGCCAGAGGGTAGCTTTTAAAGAGTAAGAGAAAATCCAAGCGTTTATGTTTGTCAGAGTCAGGAATAAAAGGGAGGATTCGGAGATATGTTAGAGAGAGAGAGAACCAAGAAGCTGGAAAATGCAACAAAGGTAGAGGTCAAGGGCGCTGGGGTGTGCCTTGCAGAGAGGGGGCGGTGGTTGGTGTGTAGTCATCTGACCCATGAAGATTGGGTTGATGGATAGGAAGTTAGAAGTCAGCCCCTCTGTAGTCCTCTTGCCTCTTAAAGATGTGATGTGGGTATCTTGCAGGGATTGGATAGGTGATGTTGAAAGGGGAACATTTGTGTGCGGTATAGGAGTGGAGAAGGCACTTTTGCAATAGACTTGCCGACACTGAAACGAGGAACTGGGGCTTTTGGTGAGAGTGGTATGGGTGATGAGTCAACAGAGTGGGGGAACCCTGGGTTTGTTGAGAATACAGGGAGGTCCATGCAGCATACAGTCTCTAGGAAAGTTGAGATCCCGGGTGCCACATGCACTGCAGAAGCAGGTTTAAGAGGGGTGAGTTGGGAGGGGGGTGCGTGGTAGCGGTCTGTGCCAAAACACACTGAACATTCCAGTTTGTGGAGTGGAGAAGGACAAGTGTGAGCATGTGGCTGAAGCTGATTGGAAGACGAGGCCATTGGAATTAGGGAGGTCAAGGGCATTGGTCATGCTGTCCACACAGATAGTCACATCTCCTTTGGGAAGGTGGATGGTGGGTGACAAGGAAAGCTGTTTACTGAAATCAGCAGTTTGAGTGGGAGTCAGAATGGAGGATTCAAAGAACTTGTTGCCCTTGGATTCCCGGATACCAACAGTGGTGCCTGGGGCTTATTTTCAAGAGGTGTTATCAGGTAATTCAGATGGACTGTATTCCTTGGAGATGTGGAATTAAATTAAGGTAAACCCTCCTTGGCTTATGGTGGCTTCTCCCTCATCCTTCGTAAGAAAGTTGAGATATTCAGAAGTCATTCTTCTTTGTGCTTCCCCTGAAACAACAATGAAAAAGGTGCAGATCGGGGTTTCCAGGCCACATTTGGGTTGTTTTCCCTGCATCCCAGTGTTAGTTGTGAAAACCGTTAGAAATGTTCCATGTGGCTGGTTATTCTTTTGCTAGTCACCGGAATGTGGTCTTTTTACCTTATTTTGAAAATCCACGTCAATTGCCGGGGTAGCATCCTAGCCTAATATAAGACGTCTTTTGGTAGTTCTAGTGGGAAGCTGAAACATAAATTGTTTGGGGGCTGGGCAGCTGTGATGAATTCCTACAACCACTTCTGCGAAATTGACTCCTGCCTTGTGTGTTGCAGGTGATATTTGAATCCGTCTCTCTGAAGGGTCATCCTGGCTACATCGCTGTGGACGAGGTCCGGGTCCTTGCCCATCCATGCAGTAAGTCTCTCCCCTCATCCTAACACAGCCTGGCTCCATGCCAGACTGGGTAGCTTGGAGGCTGCAGTCCCCCCCTATTCATTCAGCTCACAAACATCTCTCACTCTCTTACATACTCAATGCAATCAGTCCTGAATAAAGCCATAATTTTGCTGCCTGTAGGCAGCACCTCCAGGACTTTGCAGAGAGCGGCAAAACATCTTTGTTTGAATCTGTCTATTAAGGGAGTCTAAAGTCCTGATTGTTTGTTAGCGGGATTCAGACCACTGAAGTGGAAGAATTAGAGGGCTTTGGATAGAATCCTGTGCAATTGTCTCAGAAAAAGAACACCACCAAAACATTGAGCAAATTAGCACACTGTTCACTCACAGGGAAAAGTACCCCAAAGCTATTAATTCTTTAAAAGTAATTTTAAATACCCTCATCAACTCCGTGTAGGCATAGGGAGAGATTTCTCACAGTGGTTAGTACTTATGGTACAGTGTCGAGAGTTCTCAAAGACATTCCACTCCTCCAAGCCCAGCCAATTTCCCCTGGAAGTTTTCTCTCTTTGTGTATTTAGTCTAAGATATTTGAATGTGTCTGAGCAAGGAGATGTGCTTCCCAGGTTCGCTAAATCTCAGAGGGGACAAGTCCTGGGTGCAGGTAGTTGAGATGGCGTCATATCCAGAGACATTTGGTGGGGGATATGCCTGGGGATTATGGCAGCCCCATAGGAGGGCTGGTTAAGTTGCCAGCCCCATTAGTTTGTTAGTGTCTGCAGATTGGAAGTTCCTATTAGTTTCTTGGCTCCATTGGGTAACTAACTCGTAGCAGAGTTGTCTCCACTTCTTCATTATAGGCATGAGTCATGCTATGGGCTCTGGTGCAGTTTGCTGCTCCCTCAAGAGATATAATATGTCCTGTGCTTTTATGCCTTTCATGCCTCCCATAAGAGATATAATATGTCCTGTGCTTTTATGCCTTTCATGCCTCCCATTTTGAGGCTCTTCTCATTTCTGCCCCATCTGTGTTGCTTTAATTGGAATGATTCTTTCAACTTCTGCTACAGTGAATTCATCAGAGCCCCAAACATCACTTCCCTCCCCTGGCACTACAGTGACATTGTTTGACCCATTGTCTTAGAGCACCTTCTCTGGAGGAATTTGGGAGGAGTTCCAAGGGGTGTTGGCAAGACAGTATTTTGGATAACTGTGTTTGGTGTCTGTGTAAGGGAAACCTCCTCCCCAGGAATCAACCAGCATCTCAGAAATGCTGAGATCCTATTAGATTCTCCATTACTCTGGCCTAAGGTTCCTACCCTCTGGGCTACTTCCTGAGTCTTTGGGATTTTCTCAGGTGGATCTGTCCATTCAGTTATGCCCAGCAAATGTCTCTGCTGAAACAGACTTTATGTGAAGAGGGTCCCAGAAATCCCCCAGCTCTGCAGGGTTTATGTACTGGGTATACACATGAGTCCCTCGTACCAGGAGTAAGTCTTCCCCTCCCTTGACTCCTGGGAATCAGCATCTGCTGCCCCTTGGAGAATGATTGTTGACCTCAGACCATGTCGGGAGATGTCTGGTCTACTTGTGATCCACGTAACCTCACACACTCAGCCTTGCACAGCCATCAGTCTTGAGGCAGTCTCTCTGAAACAGGATTTCAGCAATCCCCAAGCCCCGCACACATTGCATCCTCGGAGCCGCATCCAGCTGCATGCATGCTGCTTACCCTGTGCTGGATGCTGGCACTAGGGCTTTCTTCCTAAAAGAGTCTGGCCTGGTTCTCTCTCCTGGGATCCCAGAATCCTGTCCTCTACTGGGAATTTTTACCTCCACCATGACACCCAGCCTGACGCCTGTCTGTTGTCTCAGCCTCAACTCTGCCTTAACTCTACCCATTGTCCGTGGTTTGCCATCGCAGCCCCATGCTTCCTTCTCTCAGAGAAATCTCCATGGGCGAGGGTTCTCTGGAGGGCATCTGAATGCCTGTCCGTGCCTGAAGTCTCGTGGCTCCTCTTGGAATCCTCCTCCCATTGAAGCTGCTTCTGGATTTTGGATTCTTCTGAGAGCGTGATACTCCTCCTGCTGAGGAGTGTGCATTATGCGGTTATGGAATTGCTGAGAGCAAGGTACCCAGCAAATGGGCCATGGGACATAACTCAGGAAGACGTGACCCTGGCCGTGTTCTTGTGTAATGTGCTGCATCTGAGTTCAACTCAGATGCTTAGGAGGCTTCAGCTTAAAACTTCTAGAAATCAAAACGTGCAACTCTGTGGAAGGGGCTAGAATTGGAAAATTCCATTTAACTCTCTGTGCAAATATTGGTGGTGCCTGTAGTCCCCTGAGTTCTATCCATAGCTCGTGAGTCATGTGGGGTTGACCAGGGCCTAGCAAAGGCCCCTTCCCAAGGCCCCATGCTCAGTCCATATCCAGCCAGGGTTTTTATTCATTCTTTCTTTCAACGAGTCAATTATTGAGCATCAGTGATGTGTCGGGAACTTCTGCTGGACACAGAGGATACTTAAGTGACCAAGATAGGTAGGTCTTTGTTCCCATGTTGTATACTTAGCAGAAGGACAGAGGGAGGAAGGACATTAAGTAAGTAACTAATATTAAGTAAGTCACTAGTATAATTTCAGATAGTGATGTGTTGTGAATATAGTAAATGTGAGGGACGGATGTGGAGGGGCTTCCTGGATAAAGTGGTCAGGGAGATATCTTTTTTTTTTTTTTTTTTGGGGGGGGGGGGCGGTGGGCGGACCTCTCACTGTTGTGGCCTCTCCCGTTGCGGAGCACAGGCTCCGGACGCGCAGGCTCAGCGGCCATGGCTCACGGGCCCAGCCGCTCCGCGGCACGTGGGATCTTCCCGGACCGGGGCACGAACCCGTGTCCCCTGCATCGGCAGGCGGACTCTCACCCACTGCGCCACCAGGGAAGCCCTCAGGGAGATATCTTTGAAGATGTGGTCTGAGCTGAGATCTGAGTCGTAGAAGGAGTTCACTGTGTGAAGGGCTGGGGAGGGGGCATTCTAGGCAGAGGAAAGGGCAAGTGCAGAGGCCCCCCAGTGGGATCCGCTTGATGCTGCCGGAGTATCCTGAGCGTGGGGAGCATGGGGGAAAGTGTTTCTGAGTGAAAGGGAAGCAGGGCCCTGGACATCATTGTGAGTGGTTAGTTTTTTTTTTTAACTTATCAAACTGTGTAATTTATTATTTTTTAATTAAAGTATAGTTGATTTACAGTGTTGTGTTGATTTCTGCTGTGCAGCAAACTGTTTCATTTTTTTAATATATATATATTCTTTTCCATTACGGTTTATCACTGGATATTGAATATGGTTCCCTGTGCTATATACTAGGATCTTGTTGTTTATACATTCTGTATATAATAATTTGCATCTGCTAACCCCAGATTCCAATCCATCCCTCCCCATGCCCCTCCCCCTTGGCAACCACAGGTCTGTTCTCTATGTCTGTGAGTCTCTTTCTGTTTTGTAGATAAGTTCATTTGTGTCATATTTTAGATTGTGAGTGGTTAGATTTTTTTAAATTAATTAATTTTATTTTTTCCTGCATTGGGTCTTCGTTGCTGTGTGCGGGCTTTCTCTAGTTGTGGCGAGCAGGGTCTACTCTTTGTTGCGGTGCACGGGCTTCTCATTGCGGTGGCTTCTCTTGTCATGGATCATGGGCTCTAGGTGCATGGGCTTCAGTAGTTGTGGCACACGGACTCAGTAGTTGTGGCTTGCGGACTCTAGAGCACAGGCTCAGTAGTTGTGGCGCACGGGTGTAGTTGCTCTGCGGCATGTGGGATCTTCCCGGACCAGGGCTCGAACCCGTGTCCCATGCATTGGCAGGCGGATTCTCAACCACTGTGCCACCAGGGAAGCCCCATGACTGGTTAGATTTTAATCTAAGTGTAGGGAGGCACCACTGGAGGGGTTTATGCTGGGGATTGATATGATCTCATTTAATTGTTAAAAGATTACTTTGGCTGTTATGTGGAAGAGGGGTTGAAGGGAGAATAGAGAAGAAGTCAGGAGAACTATGACAAAGAAAGTTCTAGAGTCATGTAAGAGATGATGATATCCTGGACCAGGTAGTAGAGAGACATTGATTCACCATCTGACGTGTTTACTGAGCATATATGCTCCATGCCAGACGCTAGTCTGGGTTCATGGAAGTGAGTAAGGACAGATTCATTCTTTGCCCTCATGGGCTTCCAGTGATGTGAAAGAGACTGAAAATAAAACCATCAGGTAATTATCTGGTCTATAACAGACGGTATATTAGTCAGCTAGGGCTGCCATAACAAAATACACAGACTGGGTGGCTTAAGCCGAATTTTATTTTCTCGCAGTCCTGGAGGCCCCAAGTCCAAGATGAAGGTGGCAGGTTTGGTTTTGTCCGTGGGCTCCCTCCTTTGTTTGCAGACGGCCCCCTTCTCACTTTGTCCTCACATGGTCTTTGTGTGTCCAAATTTTCTTATAAGGACATCAGTCAGATTGGGTTAGAGCCTGCCCTAACAGCCTCATTTTAACATAATCACCCCTTTAAAGTCTCAGTCATCAAATACAGTCACAATCTGAGCTGTTGAGCATTAGGACTGCAATCTGTGAATTTCGGGGGGATACAGTTCAACCCATCACAGATGGTAAGCAGACTATGAAGAAACATAGAGCTTAGAGATGGAGAGAGGTAGTGGACAGATTAGAGATGAATTTAGGAGGTAGAGCCCACTGGTCCTAAGTGATGGGATTAGAGTAGGAGCCAGAGGCATCAGAAATGGTGCCCTGCTAGGTTTCTGGCTTCATCACCAGGGTGGTGTGATTCTGGGGAGGAGGTGTGTGTGACCTTTCATGGTTCCCACTATGCATGGGTCCTGGAGGCTGCTCGTGGGATCGCGAGTCACGCAGCCTGCTAGTGGCTTCTGAACTGTCCTTTGGCCTGACAGTGCCTTTCCCCCAACCCCAGCCTTAATGCGTTTATGACTTCACTCATAGCTTGTTAAAAACTTAACACTATTAAAAGAATGCCTCCTCTTTAGGTCCTCAGGCTTGTAACTCTCCATTCCAGTTCCCTAAAACATTTTTTAAAAATTAAGGTATGGTCAGAGTTTATCAATAAGCGATTCCACTAAGTATTCCAAGAGTTCCAGGGGGCTTAGTGCATGATTTGCAATTGTATTCTCGATCGATTTGAGCTGAAGTTATGACTTTAAACAGTTGCCTGTCAGCTTCTAAAACAGTGACCGGAAGATAAGTGTGATACTCAACGGAAATTATTTTCTCCTACAAACTGAGACCTCTCATCTATATTTTATGGCCCATTTAACATTTTTGTGTTATTCTGCAAATATTTTAGCCATAGTTACCCTCTGCCGCCGTGTCTCCGTGTCAGCCATTAGCAGGGCCACTACGGTTATAACTGTGGACGATAAATGTCAGCACGATTTTCCACTCAGTTTCAAAGTTTCTAGCTCCTAGGTTGACTTTTAGAATTGTTTAAACTTTTTTATTTTCCCATCACAACCTTGTGGGGCCATGTCACCGAGCCCACGGTCTGCAGCACGTTTATAATGTATGTAGTGCACTTTCCCCGCAATTGTGTGGCTTCCTACTGAGCACTGTCAGGTTTAAAGAGCGAGATAAAGGGCACAATAATACGTCTTCAGATGCTGTACTGACATCTGCAGGAGTGTAAATGTCACCAACATCAAGGCTTTTTGCCCCAAATGCACAGCCAATTTTCTGTTAACCCCATTCCGCAGGGTCCCATTTTGGGGGCACTGGGTCTCAGCGGGGAGTGAGTGTGGGATGCTTAAAACCCCGAGCTGGTGGCTGGTCTGGGCCCCAAGGTCGTCTGTGCTTGGCCGAAGGTTGGTGAGTTGAAGCAGGTGGGATGATTGCATTCCTGGAGCTGTAGATGCTGGGTGCAAATCGCAGCTGGGAGTGGACTGGGGTGGGGGTGGGGGGATGGGAGGAGGATTGGGGAGGCCAGCTCAGAGAAGTGTACCAAACAGGTCCCCAACATAAGGAGGGTCCCCCAGAGAGAGAGAAAGAGATCTGTCGTGAGCTGGAGATGAAGCCAGGGCTCAAAGAGTAAGGGCATGTGGAGAGGGTGCTAAGCGGGAGGGCGGTGGTCCGGAAAGGTCACCGTGTTGAGGACTGCGATCTAGGGCTAGTGTGCACATGATACAACAGCATGACGCCTAGAGGGGTGGGGACATCCCTGGTTTTATGGGTTCAGACCAGGCAAGACTGGCCAGTGGAAATTGTTCCATAAGAGCTATGTAACGGAGACAGCCAACTAGAAGAGCATGCCTGCAGTCGTGTTTTGTTAAGTCTACATAGTGTTTTAATAAATTCAGTCAAGATTTTAGAATGAGGGCTTTCACCTAAGGCTGGATTTCTTACTTGCCTTGAGAAATCGGATGATTGGCTACGCTGAGCACAACACTGTCGCGTGGCCTCTGTCTGCTGGATTTAGGGAACTGCTAGCTGCCCCCTGCGTATGGGGCATGGGGTCTTCATCCAGTTCCCCTAAGTCCCCACCACTCCTTATTGCCTCCTCATTGCTGAGGCTGGTGTCAGATACCAGTTATTAGTGTGCTTGTGATGTTGCTTTTCTGATAGAGAGAAATCTTTGTTTTACCCAAGTCTCTATGAAAGGTGGGAAAATGAATAAGGGGGCGAGGAGGTGGCAGTTTTGTTTTTGTTTGTGTTACAGCTGAACCACTTTGTTCCTTTACATAACTGTCTGGCTCCTGAAGGCGCGTGCTTTCAACATCTCTGCTCTCTGTAAACCCTCAGTGTTGCACCAGAATTATTAACACCAGGGGCCATTAAACCTCTGAATTCTCTACCACTGTACCTAGAAGGGAGGGAGGAAGAGGGATTGCAGATGAAAGAATCAAGGCAAGAGGTCTGCTAGAAAGGCGTCAGAAGCAAGCAGGAAAGGGAATTCCCTGGTGGTCCAGTGGTTAGGGCTCACTGCCGAGGGCCTGGGTTCAATCCCCGCTTGGAGAACTAAGCTCTCACAAGCTGCGCATGGTGTGGTCAAAAAAAAAAAAAAAAAAAGAGAGAGAAGCAAGCAGGGGACATTGATCCAGAGACAATTCATTTCTAGTTGCACAAGTCCCAGAGGTTGAACCATTTGCCCAGGGTCCCCAAGGGTGAGGGGAGGTATCCTTTTGTAAAAACCCAACACAAAGCCTCCCAACGTTGGAACTAAGATTCTGTACCCCCTCCTTACCAGGGAGTAGATGTTCCTTCCCGCTTCAAACAGGTAGCATAAAGGGGCTTACAAGGTTTACTCTATTCCCACTTAAAAATGGACTTGAACTGCTAGTTCCAAAAATAACTTTACAGAATTATACAGGAGAGCAAAAAGGAAAAAATTTCAGACAATCAAAGCAGCATGGGGCTTCCCTGGTGGCGCAGCGGTTGAGAGTCTGCCTGCTAATGCAGGGGACACGGGTTCGAGCCCTGGTCTGGGAGGATCCCACATGCCGCGGAGCAACTAGGCCCGTGAGCCACAACTACTGAGCCTGCGCGTCTGGAGCCTGTGCTCCGCAACAAGAGAGGCCGCAGTAGTGAGAGGCCCGCGCACCGCGATGAAGGGTGGCCCCCGCTTGCCACAACCACAGAAAGCCCTCGCACAGAAACGAAGACCCAACGCAGCAAAAATAAAAGTAAATTAAAAAGTTTGTGCTGAACTGTGTGGAGGAGTTCGGGCTTTCTGAGCATTGGCTGTCCTGGACTCCTTGTATGGTGCCTCACAGTAAAAAAACAAAAAAACAATAAAAAAATAAAACAGCAGCATGACGTTTGTCAGGTCGACTAGATGCACGAATCTTCAACTCTGAGAAGCCCGCAATGAGAGGACCTCCCTGGGCCTTGGACTCTGGACGCCATCTAGTCGTGGGGCCCTGGAGGTGGCCTGAGGGGGACTCTGAGCTGTTGTCACTTTGTTTAAAAACCTGAGCAGAAGCTGTATGTGTTTGCACAGCGAGTCTGCCTGATCATGCCAAGGTCCTTAGCTTTTGCTGAGCATTGCAGGTGGTGACACAGTTTGGTAGAGCAGACAGTTCAAAGTGTGAAGGCCGTAGGGACGAATGCCAAGGAAAGGAATCTCTTGTGGTAAAATATTCCAGGGCAATGACAAGCGTCTGGTGGGTCAGCACAGCCTTGCCCGTGAGCCCTTTCCTCGGACCCTGGGCTCCAGGTGACACCGTTGACCTCCCCGTTGTCCATGAGGCAAGAGAGTGTGCTGGTTAAATGCTGAGTTTGGGGCTGAAATGGACCTGGACTGAATTCTGTTCCTGTCATTAATGCTGTGTAGTGTTGGACAAATTAAACTTGGTGAGCCTTGGTTTCTGCTTCTCTAAAAGAGAAATAATACTAGTGTCTGCTTTAGGGAATATTATGAAGTTAACTTCAATAAACCATGTAAAGCATTTTTCACAGTGCCTGGCATTGGAGGAACTTTCAATAAATGATGTTATTATTACCTGTCTGTCTGGATATTTGACTCCCTCTGAAAAGATGGCCAAAGGCCCTCGTTGAACCTCCTGATCCTCTTAACAGCTGTCGGGTTGATCGCATCCCAGGGGTATTTGACGCCTGGTTCATCACTGATTTGGTTAACGTGATAGGGATCGTTGGCACTCTTGTACCTTGATGAAGAAACGCATTCTTCTAGACATAGATTATCAATCCACTCGTCTTTGGAGAGCTCACATAGGCAAGGACCTCTCTCCACAAACAAGAAAGGAGATGAACCCAAGTTACCCAACATAAAACATATGTTTAATTCTAAAACATATGTTTTAGAATTAAACATATGTTTTAGAACATATGATTACCCACGGACACCATGAGTTTCATTTGAAAGTCCTTTCTCCTGTTACGCCAGGTCCCCGGCATAAATGTCCCACCTCCATCCCGTCCCTGGATATCATAGCTTAGAGTGAAGAGCGCAGACTCTGAATGTGTCTTGAATTCTCGGTGCCTTGCGTCACACTCACTGTAAAATAGAGATATTACCACCACCGACTGCGCTGGGTTAAGTGAGTTACTATGTGTAGACACTGCCGTGACACCAGTCACGTAACCTTCATTCACTCAGTGCTCACTGCTAGTGTTCTCCTCCACCTGTTGTCCGTCCTCCCCTCTTTGCCCCCTTCATGATCCGCATCATCACCAAGGCCAGGTGTGCAAGTCTCAGGCCCAGAGGTGCTTCACTTCAGTTTTCTTCTTTCTGCTCACCCAGGTCTACAGGGAGATATCTTCTGGGGTGACCCCCACCCCACCCCTCCAACTTCCTTTTGCAGACATGGCAGTATTACCCAGCAGCTAATAATATGGATTTTGAGGCTCTCAGAGACATGGATCCGTGTCTTGCCTTCCCCAGTTTCTGGCTGTCTGACCATGACAAACTGTGTAACCCTTCAGAGCATTAATTTTCTGATTGGTGAAACGGAGTTACTGCCCACCTTGTGGGTTTTTGTGAGGTTTAAGTGAGACGATGCATGTAAATGTCTTAGAACAGTAACTGGATCATAGGAAGTGATCAATCAACAGTAGCTTTTCACCGAGCCAGACCATCTCCTAAGCACAAATTCCCCCCTGCCCAGTGCCCATCCTGAGCTCCCACCCGCCGACAGGGCCATGGTCAGGCTGTTGAATTCTGTCCTCATATACTTTTTGGCTTCTCTCTTAGGAAAAGCACCCCATTTTCTGCGGCTCCAAAATGTCGAGGTGAACGTGGGGCAGAATGCCACCTTTCAGTGCATTGCTGGTGGAAAGTGGTCTCAGCATGACAAACTTTGGCTCCAGGTAAGGATGGGAGGGGCCTCCTGCTCATACCTGCCCACGCCTTGGGAAGGGAAGAAAGTGTGTGCTGTGATAAAGGGCTTGGTGGGGGAAGGGGAAGGGGTATTTTTTATGTCCCTCTGCTCCTTGGATGATACTCTGCCTCCATGATCTTGTTAACTCTTAACTCTAATTCTGTTATGTAGGCATCAGTATTCCCCATTTTACAGATGGAGAAACTGAGGTCAGAAACATAAAAGTGCCAGAACTAGAATTTGCAGCTCTGAGCTTTCCAAACTTCTTTCCAACAAACTTTGTCCTTTAAGCCCAGAGTCCCAGGACTAAGGCAAACTGGATATTTTAGATTCTGGGTCCATTTGCGTTTCCATATGGCTTTTTTGTCAATTTCTAATACAAAAAAAAAAAAAGGCCTTTTGGATTTTGATGGGGGTTGATTGCGTTGAATCTATAGATCCCTTTGGGGAAAACTGACAGCTTAACAATAATGAGTTTTCTCCTCGTGAACGTGGTATATTTCTTTACTTATTAAGCTCTGTAGTAATTCCACTCAGCAGGGTTTTATAACTTTCATCGTTCAGGTCTTGTATATCTTTAGTCAGTCTTATCTCTAAGTATCTCCTATTTTTGATGCTACTCTAAAATACATTGAAAAAAAACCCCTCAATTTCTGATTTTTCATTACTAGTATACAGAAATACAATCAACTTTCCTATGTTGATCCTGTACCCTGTAACATTGTTAAACTTAGTATGACTATTTAAATTTAAATTAGTTAAAATAAATACAGTTCAGCACTCAGATGCCCAGTTGCGCTAGCCACATTTCAAATGCACAATAGCCACATGTATCTTGTGGCTACCATGTTGGACAAGTGCAGATAGAGAACGTTTCTGACATCGCAGAGAGTCTTACTGGAGAGCACAGCTCTAGAGAGACATCACCTCCAGTTCAAGGAATCAGGAATATTGCTTGAAAGAAGCTGACTCCTGTTACCTTCAACTTCATATACTTAAAGTTCTCTATCATCTCTTCTGACTCACAGAGTTTGGATGTTGGTCCTTAACCCATGCCCAGCACACTTTGATGGGAGTTCATAGTATCACTTCTCTTCCTGCATTTGAGCCCATTTCCTGCAATTGGAAAGTCCCTGGGCCGAGAGAGCACATCTAGGAGCTGCTTTTCTTGCTTCTTAGCACAGCAGTAGAATGAAGATAGCAGTAAATAATAACACCTGCTCCTGCCGCTTCCCGGGTCTGCCTGCAGACCACAAGCGAGCACAGGAACTTCCACATGTCACTCAAGTATTACGTAATGCTATTTATTCATTAAAATTAGTATTAAAGTGCATCAGGATCCCAAGAAGCTTTGTCATGTCAATGGCGTTGCCTCAGTCGGGTCACAAGAATGAGAAGAGACAGTCACAGTACATACAGCATCTTTATTTGGGTTTTCCAATGAGCTTATGAACGTTATTGCTACAGTTCTGAGTTGCGTACTCTAAACCTTGAGTCTGTCAGTGGAAGGATGTTAAAGCAGAATGTAATTGAAGTTTTGAAGGAAATAGAAACACATGGTTTAGAACTCTTCCACATCTTATTTATTTATCTACTTTTCAGTGTAAACCAAATCTTATTTCCAGAACGTTTTTCAGATGGCTTACAGTGGGACATACAGCATGACAGGATAGCATAAATTAAGTGAGGCAACACAAAATAGGAGGAAAATAACACGTCGGAGCTGGTCATGTGCTAAAAACTGCATTTCTGTACCTCTGCTGCTTCGTGGTGGGTCAGAGGCAGAGCCCACAGCACCATGGCCACAGACAGAATAAGGAAAGCTTGTCAGATACACAGTTCACAGTGATGTCCCTGAGATGAACACAAACCAGTGGCTCCAGAAAATTCTGTCGTTCACACAGAGGCCAGACAGGAATTGTTCCCAGGAGTCCTCATAGAGAAAACAGTCTGTGAGGTAGGGACAGCATTTTCCACCACAGTCTTACTGAGGGCACACAAGTGAGTTTCATAGGCTTGTTTCCCATAGTGATGCTCTGGGTAAAAGCAAGTTGGCGGCGGGGGTGGGTGGGGGGGAGGGGGTGGGGTAGGCAGTGTGATATGGCAGAGGTCCCCAGCTCTCTACCATCGCCATCCTGGGATACCTCACGTGTATCTGGAGAGTGAATAGATTCAATAACTATATTTCTTCAAGGAAACCACCAGAAATGTTATCTCCCTCATCTATATTTCAGGAAACATTGGGAGGTAGATGGCTTACGCTATGCTCTCTGGGAAAATGCCTGCTTGGCCAGTTAAGTCCAGGCTTATATTCAACAGTGTAGTTGGAAGTAGGTCAGCATCTTTCTGTAAGATATGAGACGCCAGTCATGATACCTGCCACCCAAGAGACAATTGCAGCCCTGATCTGAGATGGACGGGCTAAGGCAGTGGCGGATTTCTCATGAGATATTGCTTTGGATTTATTCCAGCGCCTAGAGGAACTGCCTGCAGACTTGCCAAAGTTGTGTTCCATGTAACAGGCTGTGGCGCCTCAGCCTGAGAGTTTCCAAAGTCAGTGAAACAGACACATTGTGGCCAAGAGTCCCCAGGACACCTAGAGCAGGTGTGCCTTTCAACAATGCTATTTCTTGCTGTCGCTTCCAAGATAAGCTGACTATTCCCTAAGTCACCAAATGTGGAAACTTTTTTATCCAGCAGTTTTAGGTCAGGGAAATAAAGGCGGTGACTTTATTCTCAGAATAGTATGTCAGTGGCCCTTCTCCCTGGCAGTGGTTAGGGAAAAGTTGGTGGACGCGTAGTTGGGGATAAATCCCTGTTGCCTGTTGTAGAGAATGCTTACCTTCTTTTTATAGAGCAGGGATCTACAGCCTGCTTGTCCTTAAGTGCTTTCAGATCATAAATTAATAAGTTAAAAAGGAAGACTACCCGTACCCCTGTTTCGCACCCTCCTGAAGACTTAATGTGCTCTCTTGAAGACTCTGTCTGCTAGTGCCAGCTGTCATGGAATTATAGTGCAAGTTTTGCATAAAAATCAACAGACAGGACCTATGCAGAAATGTGTATACCTAAGCCTAGAACAATTGTAGTCTTTTAGGGAAGAGGTGGATAAAGGCCAGTAAGAGTTATAAACAAGCTCATCTTGTTCTGGGATGATTTCTTCTTGAGGTGAAGCGTGTAGTGCCGTGGCCTCCGGCGGAAGGGCCTCATTCATAACTTGCTGATTCCTTATGTGATGCGTTGTCCTGAGGAATCCAGACTCGTGATTCTTCAAGCATTTTGTTCAAGCGAGTAGTTGGTGTGCCTCCTGACTGGAATAACTAGTAAGAAAAGCAGCCTACAGTCTGGGGAGCCCTTTTGGAAAAAGGAAAAAAAAAAAAGCAATATTCAGGGTACAAGTAGGTGGAACTGTAGTGACAAATTATCGGCGTAGCACTGTGAAAATGTACATGGTACATCTTTTCTGGAAGGTAATTTGTCAGTAGCTAGCTAACACTTTTAAACGTACATATTCTTCCGGCAAGTAATTTTACTTTTGGGAATACACCTAAGAAAATAACCAGAGACAGGGAAAAAATGTATATGCAAGTGTGTTCAACAGGATGAAAAACTGAAAACGACCTAAATGCCCAGCAAGAGGGGACTGATTAAGTAAATAGGGCCATTAAATATCAGGTTATAGAAGTCTATTTAGTGCCATTTTCACAGTATATATTTAAGTGAAAATAGCAAGTTATAAAACGATATGCCCAATATATTAATTTTATATCAAAACCCAACCACATGTATACACACATATTTACACAAATATATACATATCTCTATAAACATACACATATAACACTATAAAACACATATCAAGACACTTAATAATTGATTGCGATGGTAGATTATATATGCTTTTTTTTACCTTTACTCTTTTCTGTTTCATCCAAAGATGCTAAAATGAATATAGGTAACTAATATGAACAGAAAAAATGCTGTTAAAAGGAGAAAAGTGACCACTTTTTCCCAGGCACAGAATATTCTAAGGATGGTAGGAGCCTTCACAGGGCATAGAATTAGGGGTAGGTATTCCGACAGAAGCGGCAGCATTGGCCCCTGTTGAGAATACGGGTAGAGTTACCCTTAGACTGCCCCACCTCATCGCCACCAAGAGATACTGTTCATTAAGGTGGAGGTTTAGAAATATTTTTGTGTGTCACCTGGTCTTTATGGAAGATTGCTGCGGGATCCGTGCACTCCTCAGGGGCTCCAGGGCAGGCCCTGTCAGCCCCACCCCAAGGCTGACTTCCAGGTCTCCCTACAAAGGATTCACTCCATTGGAAGTCTGTACAATGAATAGCGTTCGAAGAGTCTCAGCAATGAGGCCATGTGTCCAAAGCCTCTGCACAGATCTCCGTAGGGCAGCATGTGTGTTTAGACAAATCACGGGCGTTGTTACAGGGAACACACCCGAACTGGGCAGCTCCTGCCCTGGGAAGCCATCAGCACAGCAGCGGCCACACCACGGCTGATGAGATAAGCAGACGTTGGTCCGCTGTGGCAGAGTCTTCCGGTAAACCTGTTTTCCCACTCCCCGCAGGGCTCCTGCTGGCTCGCAGGGCTGTGAGCGCCCTGGAAGCAGCTCCCCCTCCTGCCTGCATCTCTACCAGGTGTCCCTTCCATGCGGGACTTCTGCTGAAAACCCAGTGGGCCCCCTACAACTACATACTAAGGAGAAATTCACGCCAATACTCAACACAGCTGGCATGTATTGAGTGGTTACACGTATGATGTATTTAATTCTCACAACCAGTCTTTCAGGTAGATGCTATTTGTAGCCCTGCTTTATAGATGAGGAGACTGAACCTTAAGGGTACATGAGTCAGAGTTACCCAGGTCGTGAGCAGTAGAGGCAGGATTTGAATGCAGGTCTGTGTCTACGTCCTGGGTGGGCTCATCCTTCCATGCTCACCTCATAGTCCTGCCCACCTGTATGTCCACTCC